TCACAACACACACTGACCCAGCTAACCAATCGCAGCACATTTCATATTTCAGAAGGCGGGCCTTCATTTGATTCAAGAACTATTCGAGCCGTTCATCATGCCAGACTGGGGAGAGAGGTGTTGTAATAATGTAAAATATGTGAAAAATAATGTGTTTTTCAAACAACCTAGTATGAGAGCCTGTTCTAGTACACCCCCAAAACAAAATCAAGACTTTGTAAAAGAGCATAATAGGACACGTTTAATTAAGAATGTCTACCAGGTCAACTTGGGCCTCAGCAGCTTTATTCCTAACGATTAACCATCTACTGGCCAGCTACTGATCATATATTATCAGCTTGGAGCAGCTGGAAACAATTTAAACCAGCTACCACCTGGATTTTCCAGCAGGGTTTAACAAAGAGAACATTTTCTACAAAGTTTAATGCAAGCAAACATGCCATTAAGAGTTTTAGAAAATATTCATTCCTAAACGTACCTTGATCCAATATGATGAGCTGAGCACCTGCCTGGACATTGCCAGCGTCATTCTCAGCTAAACACTGATAGAAACCTTCATCTGACTTGACCAGCCCCAGCACCTGCAAGTTCTGCTCCTTCTGTGAAGAGGCACACAAGAACATCGCTGTCATCTAGAAGAAATACTGTATTTATCAGAGGGTCAACAGCATTTCCTCACTCATGTAGGGCAAGCTGGCAACTTACAATGATCTTGAAATAGTCGCTGGGAATGACGGCATCTCCGTTCTTCACCCATTTGATGGTGAGAGCGGGTGAGCCGGTGACCTCACACTCGAAGATGATGTCTGTGGCTTCATGAGCAAATATGTTAGCTGGTTTCTTCAGGAACTGTGGGGAAGCTGAGAAGAAAAGCAATAAAACAAAACAAATCATGTGAGCATGAGAAACCGAACATTTGTTTCTTCAGAGAAATAATGTTTCAAATGTCTGTATAGCTTAATGCCAGTAATGATTTCGGGAAAGCAATATGATTCGATTAGGAAAAGAAAATGCTGCTTTTGACTTTTCCCAACCTCTAAAAATACCCTAAACACCAGGATGTGGCTAAAATATGTTCTTCCTAATAGCCAGAGGAAAATGCATAACCTCCAAAGGCTTCCCATTAGCAAATGAGGTTATTTGATCTTGGAGAAGATAAACAGGACATAGATAATCTCAATAACAAGGTAGTGTGCACCAGAATGATTCAGGCCTGTCTGTTGGGATGTAACTGGATTGTTGCTCTGTGCTGTGCCTGATTCTCTACCACACAACCACAACCCTCAGTTGTTGTGTATTTTATACGAATTGCACATTTACAAAACATTACTATCACTTGCATATGATTAATACACTTGCCCTCACCCTTGCATAAATCAGTATGTACTGATTGAAGGCTCTGATATTTAAATATTTAAATAAAAGTATGAAATAGATATTTGTCGCTCAGACCATACACAGTACATATAATTATTTTTAAACAGAGAAATAAGCATAATTACAAATAAATTGCACAAAATAAATAAATTTTAAAAAGCTGCACAAGAAAATATTTAAAATGTAACGTCACATTATAAGTGATATTAACGATTTCATAAATACTTTATGTTCCTAAAACCAACACAAAAAAAATAATTTAATGAATGATATAAATATAGATGTATGTATAACCATAATTACAATTGATTTTCCTCTTAAAAGAAAAATTAGTATAATTACAAATAAACTTTACAGCAAGCCCAGCACATTATACATTATATAAATGATAAATGTATATAAAATATACATAAATTAATATTATAAAATACATTGTTTATAAGGTTAATTGAAAGAAAAATTGGCATTATTACAAATAAACTGTACAATAAGCAAAAGAAAAGATTTAGAATGTGACATTACATAAATTATATATGTAATTCTTAAATATTATACTATAATATATTATTACACGTTTACTTATTATATTTATTATACGTGTACACATATATACGGTATACATTACGTATATTATATTATATTATATTATATATAAAGTTCTATGTGTGGAAGTGAACAGAAAAATCTAAATGTATAAATGTGAGCAAAATGAGCAAAGGGTAAAAATAGCAAATAGAGACTACAGATTGTCATTAACATAAAATAAGATTTATAAGACTTAAAATTCTTAGTAGAAAACCAGCCAAAAGAGAAAATGGCTACATAAAGCTATGGCTAGATATACAGTAAGTTGAGCTAAAATGAAGCCTATTGGATGTTTTCCAGATGAACTGGGTTCTACAGGATCTGGAACTGTATATCTAACATAAGTTGCAGCATCAGGGCCAAACTGACAGAGGTAAGGTGATGAATGGCTGTTAGTATGTGCTCCTGCAGTTTGCTGAGGCCTGCAAACACAACCTGCTGAAAAACACTTGTCACACACTGCTGGGTTCCTGCTCACGCCAGCTCCACACGGGACAGATGGTTTGTGTTTCAATCACTCAGTATATCTCACACACATAAACCCAGTAGCACATACGCAGGGCAGCACTCATATCGGTGGCCACTGACTGTAAAAATGTTGCATCAGCTGCAAATATACAGATAAAGGCTGTGCTGATGTTTGATTGCACACACTTTTGCATTTTTGTTACACAACCATCTTAAGCCATTTTTTTAATATTAAAGTCAATATGGAAAACAATTCACAGCCTATTTTACTTCCATAGTCTGATAAACTTCCTAGTATGAAATATGTTACAGCAGGACATGGTTTTATGATCAGGGACTGGCTGGATTATACACTCTAAAAAATGCTGGGTTAAAAAGGGACAAACCCAGCTATTGGGTTGTTTTGACCCAGCGGTTGGGTTCATGTTCGGGAAACAGTTGTGACTAGCTAGTTAGTTTCTACAATGATGCATCATGCTAGGTTAGTTAAGAAGCGGGTTACATAATTGTTTAGGAAGCGCACCCCTGATCAGTAAGTAATATCCCAGCAACCACCCAGAACAGCATTTCAACCGCACATTTAACATTAAACTCTAGTCCTGGCACACACATACACTGAACAGGTGGCACTGCCAGAGAGGAAGCTGCAGCAGATGGCATCATGCACCTGACTTACACCAAACACTGCTATACCTTTAATTAGATTTGTATCAAAAAAAGATCATCTACATGGATACATCCTCCAGTTTCTCTGAGATGTTTAGGATTGCTTAATGAAATACTAAAATAGTTGTGATGTAGTTGGAAAACTAAATGGATCACCATTACAGCATAATGAGATGTTATGAACACTTTTATGATGGGATTTAAACATCAGAAAATGTAAGAGTGTAATAAACTAAGAGTTTCCCAGGATGAACCAGGTGATAACAACGTATGGTCCAGGACCAGGTCTGACAGCTCTAACAAGCATAATTAAGAAGGTCTACCAGGTCAACCTTGGCCCCAGCAGTTTTATTCCAGTTGATTAACCATCTAGACCAGCTATTGATCATAAATTAAAATCCTAAAGCAGCTGGAAACTATTTAAAGCTACAACCTTTTTAAGCTGGATTTTCCAGCAGGGTTTACAAAGGGAAACTATTTTAACGAAGTTGAATGTAAGCAAATATGCTGTTAAACATACCTTGATCCAATATGATGAGCTGAGCACCTGCCTGGACATTGCCAGCGTCATTCTCAGCTAAACACTGATAGAAACCTTCATCTGACTTGACCAGCCCCAGCACCTGCAAGTTCTGCTCCTTCTGTGAAGAGGCACACAAGAACATCGCTGTCATCTAGAAGAAATACTGTATTTATCAGAGGGTCAACAGCATTTCCTCACTCATGTAGGGCAAGCTGGCAACTTACAATGATCTTGAAATAGTCGCTGGGAATGACGGCATCTCCGTTCTTCACCCATTTGATGGTGAGAGCGGGTGAGCCGGTGACCTCACACTCGAAGATGATGTCTGTGGCTTCATGAGCAAATATGTTAGCTGGTTTCTTCAGGAACTGTGGGGAAGCTGAGAAGAAAAGCAATAAAACAAAACAAATCATGTGAGCATGAGAAACCGAACATTTGTTTCTTCAGAGAAATAATGTTTCAAATGTCTGTATAGCTTAATGCCAGTAATGATTTCGGGAAAGCAATATGATTCGATTAGGAAAAGAAAATGCTGCTTTTGACTTTTCCCAACCTCTAAAAATACCCTAAACACCAGGATGTGGCTAAAATATGTTCTTCCTAATAGCCAGAGGAAAATGCATAACCTCCAAAGGCTTCCCATTAGCAAATGAGGTTATTTGATCTTGGAGAAGATAAACAGGACATAGATAATCTCAATAACAAGGTAGTGTGCACCAGAATGATTCAGGCCTGTCTGTTGGGATGTAACTGGATTGTTGCTCTGTGCTGTGCCTGATTCTCTACCACACAACCACAACCCTCAGTTGTTGTGTATTTTATACGAATTGCACATTTACAAAACATTACTATCACTTGCATATGATTAATACACTTGCCCTCACCCTTGCATAAATCAGTATGTACTGATTGAAGGCTCTGATATTTAAATATTTAAATAAAAGTATGAAATAGATATTTGTCGCTCAGACCATACACAGTACATATAATTATTTTTAAACAGAGAAATAAGCATAATTACAAATAAATTGCACAAAATAAATAAATTTTAAAAAGCTGCACAAGAAAATATTTAAAATGTAACGTCACATTATAAGTGATATTAACGATTTCATAAATACTTTATGTTCCTAAAACCAACACAAAAATGTTTAGAATAATTGAATGGAATAATTTAATGAATGATATAAATATAGATGTATGTATAACCATAATTACAATTTATTTTCCTCTTAAAAGAAAAATTAGTATAATTAAAAAATAAACTTTACAGCAAGCCCAGCACATTATACATTATATAAATGATAAATGTATATAAAATATACATAAATTAATATTATAAAATACATTGTTTATAAGGTTAATTGAAAGAAAAATTGGCATTATTACAAATAAACTGTACAATAAGCAAAAGAAAAGATTTAGAATGTGACATTACATAAATTATATATGTAATTCTTAAATATTATACTATAATATATTATTACACGTTTACTTATTATATTTATTATACGTGTACACATATATACGGTATACATTACGTATATTATATTATATTATATTATATATAAAGTTCTATGTGTGGAAGTGAACAGAAAAATCTAAATGTATAAATGTGAGCAAAATGAGCAAAGGGTAAAAATAGCAAATAGAGACTACAGATTGTCATTAACATAAAATAAGATTTATAAGACTTAAAATTCTTAGTAGAAAACCAGCCAAAAGAGAAAATGGCTACATAAAGCTATGGCTAGATATACAGTAAGTTGAGCTAAAATGAAGCCTATTGGATGTTTTCCAGATGAACTGGGTTCTACAGGATCTGGAACTGTATATCTAACATAAGTTGCAGCATCAGGGCCAAACTGACAGAGGTAAGGTGATGAATGGCTGTTAGTATGTGCTCCTGCAGTTTGCTGAGGCCTGCAAACACAACCTGCTGAAAAACACTTGTCACACACTGCTGGGTTCCTGCTCACGCCAGCTCCACACGGGACAGATGGTTTGTGTTTCAATCACTCAGTATATCTCACACACATAAACCCAGTAGCACATACGCAGGGCAGCACTCATATCAGTGGCCACTGACTGTAAAAATGTTGCATCAGCTGCAAATATACAGATAAAGGCTGTGCTGATGTTTGATTGCACACACTTTTGCATTTTTGTTACACAACCATCTTAAGCCATTTTTTTAATATTAAAGTCAATATGGAAAACAATTCACAGCCTATTTTACTTCCATAGTCTGATAAACTTCCTAGTATGAAATATGTTACAGCAGGACATGGTTTTATGATCAGGGACTGGCTGGATTATACACTCTAAAAAATGCTGGGTTAAAAAGGGACAAACCCAGCTATTGGGTTGTTTTGACCCAGCGGTTGGGTTCAAAACAACCCAACCGCTGGGTCAAAACAACCCAATACCTGGATTTGTCCCTTTTTAACCCAGCGCTGGGTTATATTTAACCCAGCATTTTTTAGAGTGTAAAAAGTGAATGGAGAGATATAAACTTGCAGTTGAAGAAAAAGGCAGAATTGTGAGATAAAAATTACCTTTTTTATTTTTTATTCCGTGGAGGAAACAAGCTGCCATAGGTTACACTCCTATACATTCTAGCGGGAGATTATAGTGATGATAAAACATCTCAAATGACCACAAAGCTCTTATCACCGCCTTGCTTGCATTCAGGAGCATTTCTCAGGTTTCCTGCTATATTACAGACAATGTCAAAGCTCAACACACAACGTTGTTTCTAGTCATCTACCCTGCATTTCAGAGTAGGCTAAGAAACAGCAACCTACAAGCTACTCCCTTATGTTTTGCGTAGCACAGAAAAGACAGTCTATCAAAGTTTAATAGGATTCTGGGTTTCTCACCTACAGTATAACAAAAAATCTATCTGACCTGCTCACACTAGCACACATCTCTCTGCATGTTGACTAGTAATGTAGGCAGCAGAATGTATTCATAACTCTTCTGCGCCCACTGGTTGACATTTAAAAACTGAGCAAACAAGACATGAAAGTCATTGTTTTATTTCACGCTTGAAACAGGAACACATGATGGTTTTGGATGCAATACGACCTGCTCTATCAATAGCATTATGTTGATCACAACAAAACAATTTTGATTTGTAAAAAAAAAAAAAACTTGCAATAGGAGTAAACAAGAGTGTCCAAAGGGTTTCCATGCAGAAAGATGAATTATTCAGCATGCATCATTCAGCAAAACCTATTACTATTTGAGCTGTGAAGCATTTTTAGAAGTGGGACTACTGTTCTGGGCAAATTAACTTCTGGTTGTGTGTTACCAATGTAATTCCTGTGAGTGTAGTATAGTTATAAATATTACATAGGTTATTCAGCAATTCAATCACACTGTTTAATGCCAACATGCATTATGTTGAAGTCTTGTGGCTATTACTTTTAAAACAGTGTGTATTTTGCTTTTATGGCCTGTCCTTACATATGTCCTTTTGTGGAAAAGAAGTACACTTTATCATACTTAAAAAAAAAAAAAGGAAAAATAGGGAAATTATATACTTTAGAAGAATATACTTCTAAGTGGGAACCGAATGTTTTTGGATACTCTACTTCATGTTAACTGAAACTAAATGAAAATGTTTAAGAGTTTACATTTATATTAATGCAGTAAGTTGGAATTAAAAGTGTTTTTGACCCACTTAATTAGAACATAAGTAGATCTTTATATGTTATTTCATAATTACTTATATTGTCTTTGAAATATGATTAAAGTGTACTGTTGAATGTACTGACAAGCATTTATGGTAAACTGAAAAATACTTGAAACTTGTATGTAATGTATTTAAATATTTTTGTAATTACATATTTTAATAACATAATATCAAATAAATTACTAAAATTATAATCAAGTATTTTACACATGCTTTAGCATGTTAGTCAACACATCAATATAAGTGTACTTTATTAAATGCATGACATATGATTTTTAAAACATAATGACTTAAAATTGATTTGATTAGTGAACTCACTGTAAATACACGTAAGTGGCCTTTTATTTGATTGGTATTATATGCAAGTACAGTTTTTTAAAATATACTTTATACTACAAGTGCACATTCAATACAGTTTTCACTACTTAAATGGGCAAAGGGACCACTGAAATTATTTTCTGTGACAATCATACCATAAAAATGTTGACAAAACAAATTTCTGATGCCAGAGCATCTCTATTCAGAACACTGACGAAACAGCCCATGTTGAAAGAAAAACATAGCAAGTGTTTGACACTCGCTTGGATTCTGGGAGCTGCTCGGTTTGAGTTTGGCATTGCACCTCCTTTGTGAGCTGCTGGATTTACTGTACTATCGCTCCAACACAATACCTCTCCCACCCACAAAGGCAAAGCAAAGGGCCTAAAAGTAGGGGCTGGGTGCCCTCCAGTATCTTTCATCTTTTCATCTCGTCACAGTGTAGGATCAATTCCCAGCAGATGGACAGATGGCCAACGCTCATTACACTCCACATATCTGCATGAAATCTACAGCCCAGATTCTATTCTATTCTCTGTGATTTCACACCTGTCTGAACCATCTCGCCTCCCTTTTATCATCACACAATCACATCTCACGCACTAGTCAGTCCCGCCCAAAAGCTACAGCTTGGGCAATTACAGAGAACCCAATAACTGTTTCTGTAAACGTGTCTGAAGTGTGATCAGAGTGTGCAATCAAATTACAGAACTTAATGTCACCGAGAAAATGCAACACTTCCTCTGAACAGTACTAGAGGAAAGAGCTTTACAGTGTGACGTGACAATCACCTGACTAGTCCTTTATAAAGCAGTGAGGTTTAATCTTACCTTTCAGCGTGAGCTCAGTCTGGGCCTCAATGGATCCATTGGTGTTGTCTGCCATGCAGCTGTACACACCGGTGTCTTTCTCAGTGAGATTGAAGATCCGCAGACTGCCTCCGCCAAGCACTTCAAAGCGGCCCTTGCTGTGTGGAGAAGAGAAAAAGGCGATGTCAATAAGCTCCCTGCAGAAAGTTAAATGTATACTTAGCCCAACGCTAATTCAAAAACTGCATTATATATGGTCCTTCTAGCAGTGCATTCTAGCAGAAAAGGGCAGCCTCAACATTGTGGTGTGTGGTTTAGCTGTAAAGGTCAGGCTTGGTAATCAGAAGGTCTCTGGTTTGATCCCCACCAGGGGCAAAAAATGAATGGGTCACCATTGTGCCCTTGAGGTCACCAAGGCACTTAATCCCAGGGTGCTTCAGGAGGATTGTCCAGGTAATAATTGTACTGCATGATGCTTAGGATAAAGGGTATTCTTCCCTAAGAGGGTAGTGATAGTAGGAAAATATTGTTAGTTCACATTAGAATGTCAAGGTAACTATATTATTATTATTATCATTATTATTATTATTAATTTATAATTAGTTATAATAATTAGTTACCTGTTACCTGAATACAAAAGACATCACTGAATATTTATTTATGCATTTACCATTTTTTCATCCTTGTTACCAAAAGGTGTCTGAATAGAAAAGACATGTCTGAATTTACTTATTTATTTGCTAATTTTTAGCCCTGTTACCAAAAGTTGTCTGAATACAAAATACATGTCTGAATGTACTTATTTGCTATTTTTCAGCCATGTTACCAAAAGTTGTCTGAATACAAAGACATGTCTGAATTTACTTATTTATTTACTATTTTTCAGTCCTGTTACCAAAAGTTGTCTGAATACAAAATGCACAGTGTTGGGGAGTAGCTAGCTACAAGTAGCGACGCTACTAGCCTAACTACATTTTTCAGTAGCTTTACAGTAGCGACACTACTTTTAAAACAGTGTAGCTTTTCCAGTAGCTAACAATTTTTATCAGCATGTAGCGCGACCAAACGCTACATTCCGTTTGTCTGAATACAAAAGACATGTCTGAATTTACTTATTTATTTGCTATTTTTCAGCCCTGTTACCAAAAGTTGTCTGAATACAAAAGACATGTCTGAATTAATTAATTAATTTACTATTTTTCAGCCCTGTTACCAAAAGTTGTCTGAATACAAAAAAATGTCTGGATTTACTTTTTTAAACTATTTTTTTAATCCGTTACCAAAAGTAGTCTGAGTACAAAAGACATGTCTAAATTTATTTACTATTTTTTATCCCTGTTACCATAAGTTCTCATTTGTAGTAATTACTGAGCTTTAAAGTAAAGAATAATATTTTTTTTTCTTTCTGCTAACGGGGTTGAATGGCTGTGCTTGATGAATGCAGTCAACACCACAATTTGGGTAGAAATTGAGAAAATGATTTCTGCAGCAATTAATTTTTTTCTTTGCCTTATTGATATACTATCAACATTCGGCTGGGTGAATTTTCAACATAGGGCACATGCTGTGATGCTGGGCAAGGAATCAATGGCTTAGAAAGAAGAAGAGAGTGGCCACAGTATGAGGTAGAGGAGCAGGATGGTCTCCTGCACAGAGAACACAGGGATGCGGAGATTGCAGAACCTCCACTCAACCTGATCTGTCAGCCATCGACTGGCATCAAACACCAGCACATTAATACCAGCATTCTCACACTGACACATTCCCTATTTTATTTCTCTGCCTGTCTCTCAGTCTCAGACATGCAAGTAACCTGAACCATGTGCTGCATTCAAAATTGTGGGTTTTCTAGGAAACAACAAGCATGTGCTCTCAAAGGTTCTTCATTATTTTATTTTTGCCCTTTTATGTTGTAACCTTTTTTTAAGCTTTTAAAAAAATCTGTGGAATTCTAAGTGACTGATTTAATCAGTTAAATCAACAGAGATGGGAGTACAATCCAGTACTATACAAGCTTTATAAAATTAGCCAAAATATAGAATAAATGAACACCTAAATAAGAGCAAGTCCTTCCTACACCATTTCCAGTACCAAAATCTACCATTTATAAATTGCAGAGTATAAAACAGCACTCTGAAGTCCTGAGAGGGCAGCCTGACAGTGTCCATTACACTCGCCACTTGCATAAGAGCGAGTAACTCAAAAGTCTTGTGCTCAGAGAAACTGCACCTCAACCATCACACATACCTCATCCCACAGGAAAACCAGCAGGTCTCATAAAGGAGGTCTTTGCCCTTTTGGGCTGAAGAACACGCAATGAAACACATAGGCCCACTGTGGAGCTTTTCCACCTAAGACACGCTTCAGTCTTCATGTTTTTCTTTCATGGACTGTGACATTATTACTCATATGTTCTTTTAAGAGTGTGAATACTGAAGTTCCACACATCAGTGCCTCTCAGCTGCAATTGTCTCTGCATGTGTCTCGAGTCAAGTGCCTTCAAAACATTAATGTGTGAGGGAGGCACAACCTTACTGGTGACTTACTGACAATATCCTTTGCATTTGTCATTGTGTAATTTCACTTCATTAAGTCTGAAAGATTCACTTAGACTCCTTGGAACTGCAGCATGTTACTGATTAAAAATAATATAAATTAGAAAAAAAAAAAAAGTTAAAATATACAGACTTAGGGCTGGGCGATTTTTCCGATTTTATCGATTAATTCGAATTTAATGTTTTGGCACGATTTTATTTTTTAGAAATCGAGGAATCGCGATTTTGAATAGAAATATTACCAAACGTTAGAATTATACACTTTGAGAATAAGCCAGTGATAACAGTAAAGAGAAAAGAACGATCCGACCACCTGTCGGCGCACATGATTAACCGGTCACGTGTGACCCGCTCATATCGCTAGGAGCCATTCACACAGAATGCGCTTGTGTTGACAAAGATGCTACGCAGGCAGTGGGATAGGAAAAAACATGCAAGAATATGGGAGTGAACTTCTTTTAACTTGAGCGCTGTGTTTTTAGAATGCAATTGATGTGAGTGTCATATCGCTAGGAGCCATTCACACAGAATGCGCTTGTGTTGACAAAGATGCTACGCGGGCAGTGGGATAGGAAAAAACATGCAAGAATATGGGAGTGAACTTCTTTTAACTTGAGCGCTGTGTTTTTAGAATGCAATTGATGTGAGTGCAACAGTCAAACACGTCCATGTTTACATAGAAAAAATGATGGAAAAGCAGCGCAAGTGAATAAAAAACCTGTAACTACTGTATGTCTGATATTTTATGTTTGCATCAGCATGACAGGCTGAAAGCTGCTGTTGTTTTTATAGAACATTTATAGATAATAATAGTCTACTGGTGTTATATCTTCAGTCATTTTGAATTTGAATTACCTTGACTTTTGAGATTTTTTAAAATAATTTTCCTCGTATTATATCTGAACATATAATATGTTTAAGACAAGTTTGTACAAGATGTAGTTGTAGTTCATGCATCTTTTCTGCAAAGATACTTAA